TGGTAGTCCAGGCTGGCCTCGAACTCACAGAGATCCGCCTGCCTCTGCCTCCCAAGTGCTGGGATTAAAGGCGTGCGCCACCACCGCCCGGCCTGTCCCTTGCTTTCTAAGCACGAGTAGTTCTGTCAAGGGTCTACGACAGTCACAAGATTATGTATTTTGGGAGGGACTCTACAAGGACAATTCAATCCCTGTTTCAGTTGCAAGAGGGGCAGGAACTCCTCAACTTCAGTTATGAAGGAACGTGGGAGCCCAGAGACCAGAGTGAGACCCTGGGAAAACATGAAGAGATGAGCAGGGGTTGACTCAATGGACGTGGCAATCCTGGGCCACTGAGGACTGTTCCAGGCTGTGAGCTGTGTCTTATTGCCACAAATCCCTCTCCTCCTCTGCTGGTCTGAGGTGCCGCACAGACTATGTCTTGTGGCTTTGGGGGTTGAAGCCCATCAAATCACATACACAGGAGCTGGAGAGATGGCCCAGTGGTTAAGAGCACTGGCTGTTCTTCCAGAGGACCTGGGTTCAATTCCCAGCAACCACATGGCAGCTCACAACCTTCACACCAATGCATATAAAGTTAAAAAAAAACAGAAAAAAAAATCACATACACAGATTGTAATTATTAAGAACAGAAGCTGAGCCAGGCGGTGGGGGGGGGGGCACGCCTTTAATCCCAGCACTCGGGAGGCAGAGCCAGGCAGATCTCTGTGAGTTTGAGGCCAGCCTGGGCTACAGAGTGAGTTCCAGGAAAGGCACCAAAGCTACACAGAGAAACCCTGTCTCGAAAAACCAAAAACAACAACAACAAAAACCCAGAAGCTGAAAACTAGGACTACAGCTAAAATTTTGAAATAAATTTTTATTTACGTTTATCTCACTGTGTGTGAGGGAGGGGCAGAGATAGAGCGCATGAGCATGCACAGGTGAGAGAGAGTGATCGGGTCACACGTGTGTGACTGAATGTCAGTGCAGGTCGGAGGAAAAACTCCCCATGAGTCAGTTCTCTTCTGCCATCCTGTGGGATCAGCGGGTCAACCTGAGGTCATCAGGCCTCAAAGCATCTCTACCTGCCGGGCCATCTCCTAACCTAATGTATATCTCATAACATCCCATTGCACTAGTAATGGCAGCACGTGCTTTGGATTTTACAACTTGGGAGGCTGAGGCACAAAGGTCAGGAAATACGAACCAGGCTATGTGGTAAGAGCCAGTGCCAAAAAAAAAACCAAGCAAACCAAACACTTCCTGTAAACCACAGCCTTTATATAAGACCAAGTTCCTCCTTACGATTTAATTCAATGAGAAGAAACAGCTTAGAAGTTGAGGACCCAAAACTAAACCTATTTCCTAAATTTTAAAATAAAACCCATCCAAATGCAGACCAAAACCATACCAGGAAACCACACAACACTCACTGAAGTGGCTACCTCGAACAAAACAGTGGTGAGGGTGTGGGAGAAATGGGAACATTTGGGGCGGGGGTGGGGGAGGGGGGGGGGGGGAGGCAGAAAAACCTGCAAAACACCAAAACCCATTTAGACGATCTTCAGAAAGCTAAGCCAAGAGACAGTCACTTTCAAAACCACAGCTGACTAACTTCTGAGTTACTGTTTTATTATGCTAGGTTTTAAATCGTCGTATCTTAAAACACATTTACCACTGTATTTTTTAAGGATTTATTTCATTTTCATTTATGTTTACGTGTGTGTCTCTGTAATTCTGTACACACGTGTGGGGGTGCCCTCAGGGGCCAGGTAAAGGTTCTGGATCCCCTTAGAGCTAAGTTACAGGTGGTTGAGAGCCACCTGACTGAGGTGGGCGCGAGGAACCAGACCCAGTTCTCTGCGAGAGCAGCCAGTGCTCCGGACCACTGGGTCATCGTTCCAGGATTTCTGAGCTTCCTGTCTGTTCTGGGTGAGTGGTCAACGACAAGCTTCTATTTTTCCTCCCAATTTTTCTTTTCATCTTTAAGACAGCCATTCTTTTTACGCAATGCCGAGACTGAAACCCCATTTTGAAAAAGGAACAGAGTCTTGTTTCTAATAAAAGAGTCCCGATATGCATCTAAGAGACAACGTTTTCCCCAGTACCTTTTCCTCTTGGTTAGCACAGACCATTTTCATCACGCATTTTGTCTTCCTTGTAGTCACAGCATGATACATTGGGGTAAAGGCAGTTGAGTAGATTTTCACATTATCTTTTCCGTATTTATGAATGGCCTCATCTATAACACACATTAAAAAAGCATCAATCAAAGACGGGAGGTGGTGATGCACACCTTTAATCCCAGCACTCGGGAGGCAGAGCTAGGCAGATCTCTGTGAGTTTGAAGCCAGCCTGGTCTACAAAGCGAGATCCAGGGCAGCCACCAAAACTACACAGAGAAACCCTGTCTCGAAAAACAAACAAACCAAAAAAGCATCAATCAAAAGCTAAACTATTCCACAGAGCTATGAGAGGGTACGGTCCAGAAATACACCTGAATGAAACTGTCCAGAAACAGGAATACACCTGAATTAAACAAGAAAGAAGCAGCCAACTGTACCATAGGAAGGGGCGGTCTACAAAACCAATGTCCACGTCCCATCACACACAGAATGGCTGAGGAATGTGTGTCTGATTGAATGGGACCAAACTGTTTGCAATGAATTGTACTGAACTGAGCTTTGAACTGTGGTTGGGGAATGTGTTCCAAATGATATTTGAGATAGATGCTAAATTTGCATAAAACCTAAAGTTTACACAATATTTATTAATTGAAGTTTTTCCCCTCTTAAACTACTGTTTATGTAAGTGAAGATCCCTGTTCTTAAAACATAAGATGCAAGGTGTGTATGCAGTGGGGATCCACAGCCTTCCTAATGCTGTGACCCTTAAATACAGTTCCTCATGCTGTGGTGACCCTAACCATAAGATGATTTCATTGCTACTTCATAACTGTAATTTTGCTATTGTTATGAATCATAACGTAAATGTCTAGTATTTCTGGTCGTCTTAGGTGACCCCTGTGAAAGGGACATTCAACCCTCAAAGGAGTCGAGACCCACAGGCTAAGCACCACCGGTGTTTAGGGTGCAAAAATGATAAGGCAGAAAAAGTACGGACACAGAGGACTCCTCTGTATGCTTTTTGGCTACTTTTAACTTATATAGATAAAAAAATCGAGAGGAGAGAGAGAGAGAGAGAGAGAGAACGAACACAGAAACAGAGACACATGGGCAGCAGGAGCCACACTCTCCAAGTACTCACTGCCTGAGAACTATGACTCCAGACTAAACAAAAGGGTTAGTGTAACTTGGGACACCGTTATTTTGGCTGATCAAAGTCTAGAGAAGGAACCACACACGACCTTCCTTTTAAAACACCCACCTTCAGTGAGCCCCACTGTCCCAATGGGGGGGTGGCTGAAGACCACGGTAGGGATGTTGTCATAGTCTAACTTGGAGTCTTCTTTGCATTCAAAAAGCCTGTGGGCCAGCTTCCGGCCAGCAGCTATCGCAACTACAACGACACAAAAACCAGTGTTCGTTTTGTTGATCTTAACACGGCAGCACCGTGCTAACAGCCGTTTGCGGATCTGGCAGAGCCCCGACCGGGCTTTATGCCAACGTTCATCATCGTCTCTACTTCGACATCACGAGAACCTGGCACGGCCATCGTGAACAATCCGAAGCGACTGGCTTGGTAACTGTGCATTCTGTGAGGAGGAAAAGTGACCTGCGCCTAAGTTCCCCATCACCTGGAAGCTCATCTGCTGAATGAGGACGTGAGCTTCCATGTAGGATATTTATAGAACAAGCCACAGTTTGGCATGTTTTTATTTCTACTTCATAAGATTCTTTTAAACTAAAAAGCTTGTTTCTGTCAGCCTGTTTTTTATTCCTATGTCTTCCCCTCAAACGGTCTCATTCCAGAAAAAGCATTGGTTATTAATTTACTGATACAAAATTAGCAGTTTATTCCACAAGACAAGCTAAGCAGACCTGCGTCAGATGACGCAAGGTTGTTTTTCAAAGTCCTGTCAAAGGACATAAAATTTCAGTTAAAACGACTACGTTCAAGAGATCTATTACACAGCGTGGTAACTATTGTTAATATAAGCATATAATTAAGTACACAATGTATTGTTTACTTAAAAATTGTTGAGAGTAGCTGGGCAGTGATGGCACACACTTTAATCTCTTCACTCGGGAGGCAGAGGCAGGCAGATCTCTGAGTTCGAGGCCAGCCTGGTCTACAGAGCGAGTTCCTGAAATAAGAGTGGGTCGAGGTACAGCAATGAGGACAAGGACATCAGAGCTGGTGGCACCAAGACCACTTACTCATCCAACAATGCCAACTGTCTAAACACATCTTCAGAAGGGAACCTATAGAAAGTCTTTTTTTTTTAAAGATATATTTATTTATTTTGTATACAATATATATTGTATTGTTTATTATGTATACAATGTTCTGCCTGCATGTATGTCTACAGGCTAGAAGGGGGCACCAGATATCATTACAGATGGTTGTGAGCCACCATGTGGTTGCTGGGAATTGAACTCAAGACCTCTGGAAGAGCAGTCGGTGCTCTTAACCGCTGAGCCATCTCTCCAGCCCAGGAACAGTCTTCTTGATGTTGAATTCAGGATTGGCTAATGTGTTTGTGATGGTTAATCCTTATCACCAATCAGCTAAGAGACACGGCCCTGGGTGTATCTATGAGGACTTTTCCAGAGCGGTGTAACGGACAGAGGACCTGCCCTGAACATGGGGAGCACCATTCCCTGGGCTGGCATCCTGGACTAGACAAAAAGGGCAAAGCGAGCTGAGCACTGACACCTGCTTCTTTCTGCTTCCTGGACACAGATACCACGTGACCAGCAGCCTCCTGTTCCCGCTGCCGCCAAGCCCGCCTACTATGATGGACTGGGAATCCCTCACACTCACACTCACACTCAGAGCCAAGAGAATCCCTTCCTTCCTTCAGTGGCTCTCGTCAGCAACAGATAGAGTCTTCTACGGAATCAAGAATTTTATTCAGAAAACGTGAGGTAACGTGCCTACATCTACTTCAACGCCATTTTGTGACAAAGACACAAATGCTTTTAATTTTGCTGAAGAATTTAACTGTGACAAGCTGGGCAGCTTTAATAACACACAGGCTCCTCTTCTCAAGAAAGAAAGAAGCATTACCTGGGGTGAGAAGCGCTCTCCCACAGACATCTCCCACAGCATAGATGCCTTTGACACTGGTATTCTGGAATTCGTCTACGATGATATGGCCTTTTTCATCCGTCTGAATCCCCTAGAACCACAAGGGAACATCTGGTCAATACCGGGGCCTTCTATCATGGTACGTCAAACCTTGACATCAGCTGCATTTCACATCTGCACCTCCAAAAAGCCACGAGACTTAACAGCAACATGTAAATCACTTCAAGCTGACATGTTCCATAGCTTCATTATAAAAAAAAAAAAAAAAAAAGCTGTTTTACTAACTATTGAGGTGCTTTAATGGGACAGGACCGATCCAGTATGCAGGAAATGAAAGGGAGACAGAGACAGACAGACAGACAGACACAAAGAGAGAGAGAAGGCTATCAGACATACTGATACCCTGATACCCTGTGGGGGTTCCTCTGAAACAATGCTTATCAATGTTCCAGGACGTACGTGGAGGGTGGCTAATATACTGCTCACTGGCTAGTGTTGTGTCAACTTTACAAATGCTAGGGACCTTTGGGAAGAGAGGTGCTCAACTGAGAAAATGTTCCCACCAGACTGGTGTGTGGGCAAGCCCATAGGGCATTTTCTTGATTAATGAAGTGGGTGGGGCCATCCCAGGCAGGTGGTCCTGGATAATACAAGAAAGCAGGCTGAGCAAGCCATGAGGAGCAAGCCAGTAAGCAGCACCCCTCCATGGCTTCTACATGGGTTCCTGCCCTGACTTCTCTGGATGAGGGACTACAAACTGCAAACTGAAAAAAACCAATTCCTCCCCAAATTGCTTTTGGTCATGGTGTTTTATCACAGCAATAGAAACCCAACTAAAACAGTCACTAAAAGCATTTTTTTTCAAGTTACCATCTTATTTTTTTTTTTAAATCTAAGCCAAGTTTGCATTCTACTCCAAAATATGCTATTCGGCACAACCAAATCCACTTCCTTTACGGGGAGTCGTCCTTCCTAGGATGCGTTGTTCTGTTTATATTGCGGCCTTGCAGATCTGAGAGACACAACATTCCAGTGTGCGAAGAGGAGACAACACAGTGGCTTCTGCAGGGAAGCAGAGTGCTGAGGAACAGTCACTGAGTTCGAGGACAGCCTGGTCTACATAGCCAGTTCTGGGCCAGCCATGGCTACACAGTGAGACCCAGCCTCAATAATAAAGAAATAAATGTACTTATATATTCACATATATGAATACATGTATGTGAGTACGATCTTTGGAGCTGAGATGTGGCTCCATGGCAGAGCACACGCTTAGCATGTATCAGCCCCTGGCGCTGACTCCCAGCATCATGGGGCGGCCAGACACACTTGGCTTGAATCCCAGCTCTGTCACTCACTGGTTAAGAAATTTCACACACGTAACCATTTAGCTATAGATATTTGAGCTTAGCTTGGCCACTAAAACACAGACAGGGGAGTTGGACAGACTTCCTAGTCCATAGTTACCAGCCTGGTGAATTATCTATTAATCCCGTTTCTTGGTTTCCTCGCGCTTCAGTTACTGGCAAGATTTACGAGGTGAGTAATGCCCTGGCGCAACCTGGCACACGGCGGTCATTCAGTCTGCATTACAACAGACCTATCTTAACTTTTGGTAAGGTGAGAAGCAACCTTCTTTTTTTGGCCTCATTGTTTAAAAATTCAGGAAATAATGAGCTGGGCAAACAGGTTGGTAGAGTACTTGTGAATTAATGAGCTAGGGAAATAGGTTAACTGGTAGAGCACTTGTGAATTAATGAGCTGGGGAAATAGGTTAGCTGGTAGAACACTTGTGAATTAATGAGCTGGGGAAATAGGTTAGCTGGTAGAGCACTGGTCTAGCATGCTCGAAGCCTTGGGTTTGATCCCCAGTATTAGTGCATGTCTGCAATCCCGGTACTTGGGAGGTAGAGTCAGGAGGCTAAGAAATTCAAAGCTGAGCCGGGCGGTGGTGGCGCACGCCTTTAATCCCAGCACTCGGGAGGCAGAGCCAGGCGGATCTCTGTGAGTTCGAGGCCAGCCTGGGCTACCAAGTGAGTCCCAGGAAAGGCGCAAAGCTACACAGAGAAACCCTGTCTCGAAAAACCAAAAAAAAAAAAAAAGAAATTCAAAGCTGGAGATAGGAAGATGGATCCGTGGGTGAGGAGCTTTGCTGGGCAAACAGGAGGAGCTGGGTTCAATCCCCAACGCCTAAGGGAAAGCCAGGTGTAGCTGGAGTCACAGAGCTGGGGAGGCAGAGACACGATGATCCCCAGGGCCGCTAACCAGCCAGTCCAGCCCAACTGACAAGCTGTATGTTCAATGAGAGACTCTCAAAAAATGAGAGAGAGAGCAACCGAGGAAGACACCAATGTCAGTCTCTGGCCACTACATGCAAAGCACACATGCATACATATACACATCAACACCTACACATAGATTCACCAAATAAGGATGGGACCTGGGAGGGGAGAGAAGGGGTGAGGTCAGCGGAGGGGCGTGAATTAAACACAGTACAACCATGCACTCCTATGAAAATGCTACAATGGAACTCATTACTTCATTTGCCGAAAAGCCATTTTTCAAAGTCAGCAAATAAAAGAGGCGTAGGAGGCGGAGAGAGATTCACCACACAGGGCTGAGAGGATGGCTCAGTGGTAAAATCACTTGCTGACAAGCCTGAGGACCCAAGTTCAACCCCCAGGACCCACGTGGTGGGAGGAAAGAATGGAGCTCTGGCCTCCCACAGGCGCTATAGCACAGACATACCCTCTCACAAATAAATAAACGCAAGAAAAAAAAGTCAGCAAAATATACTTGACCACTGGACTTAGGAACATTCCATCTGCACAAACGCAAGTTACCAATTAGAGACGAAAGGTTCAGGGATTGGTTTTGTTAATATGAAGAGCGAGTTCTAATTAAATTTCACTGAAGACTGAAAACAAGGCAGCCCCCTCCTTAGGTATTTTATTCATTAAAATGTTGAAGGCTCCAGGCACAGGGCTCATGAGTGGAAGCCCGGCACTTGGAAAGTGGAGGCAGGGGGATCAGAAATTCAAGGTCATTTTCAGTTCCCTATTGAAAATGAGGCTAGCCTGGACTACAAAAAATACTGTCTCACTGGGCGGTGGTGGCGTACCCCTTTAATCCCAGCACTCGGAGGTGGAGGCAGGCAGATCTTTGTGAGTTCGAGGCCAGCCTGGACTACCGAGTGAGTTCCAGGAAAGGCGCAAAGCTACACAGAGAAAGCCTGTTTCGAAAAACAAACAAACAAACAAACAAAAGATCCTGTCTCAAAAGACCAACAAACAAATAAATACAGGGACTGGTGGTGCAGGTCTCTAGCCCCAGCTACTTGGAAGACTGAAGAAGGAAAACTACAAGGCCAGCTTGGGCTACAGACTGAGTTCAGGGCTAGCCTAGGTAACTTAGTGAGACCATGTCTTTAAAAAAAAAAAGGAAAAAGAGGGCTAAGACTACAGTCAGCGGTAGAGTACTTGGCTAGCATGTGTGTGTGTGAGACCCTAAATTCAATTCATACCACTGCTGCCAAAAAGAACGAAAATGGGCTGGAGAGATGGCTCAGTGGTTAAGAACACTGACTGCTCTTCCAGAGGTCCTGAGTTCAATTACCAGCAACCACATGGTGGCTCACAACCATCTATAATGAGATCTGGTGCCCTCTTCTGGCCTGCAGTCATACATGCTGTATACATAATAAATCAATAAATCTTTAAAAAAAAAAAGAACAGAAAAGAAGGGAGGGAAGGAGAGAAAATGGAGGACACAGGAAGTGGGAGGGAAGGTGTGGTAGGGCAGTGCACACCCATAATCCTAACATTTAGAAGTCTGTAAAGAAGGAGCGAATCAGGAAACGGCTGGACAATCCAGACCAGAACCCTCCCATCTAACAAGACCCTGATCTGGAGAAATAGTCCAAAGCAGCAGGGTTTCACGACGAAGCACATGGATGGACGGGTATGCAAAAGGCCACGGGACTACTGGCAGATGGAAGACTAACTCCACGGGGTGGACCGGGTCGGCGTACCACTTTACTTAGATTCAGGCCCCTAGAATTTGGGTCCCGTCCGATGGCCCAGAGCAGGCAGTCAACATCTGGAATCACGGTCGTGGTGGGTTTCCTACTAGGAACTGCAGTAACCACTTGGAGTTCCAAGCCGGATGGTGTCTTTTTTACTTCCTTAACCTATTTAAAAAAAAAAAAAAAAACAAGTTAAGTACGTGTGGGAGGAAAGGGGCGAAGACAGTATGAAAGCAAAGATTTTCTTCCAGTACTGGGGACTGAACCTAGAACTCATGGCAGGCAAGCACTCAACCACTGAGCTACATCCTTGTCCTCTTTTGGGGGGGCAGGAGTCTCACTAAATTATCCAGTCTGAGCTTAAGCTTACTCTGCCGTTCAGACAGACCTTGAACTTAATAATCCTGCTTCAGCTTCCTAAGACCTGGGAGTTTAGACCTAAGCACTAGACTCAGTAAAACCAGAACTTTTTGTGAGGTTTTTTTGTTTGTTTTTTTTGAGACAGGATCTCAATCTATAGCCCAGACTGACCTCAAATTCATATCATTTTTTCTGCACCAGACTCCTAAGTGCTGGGATTACAAGCTTGGGCCCGCTACACCCAGCTAGAATTTTTGATAACATTTACTTATAGTTCAAATGGGTATTTAATTTTAGCCAAAGGCCAGGGACACCAAACTCCCCAGAGTCGGTTCTGTTTCCTTGATTCTTCCAATGACCAGGCTTATGTTGCTATATGTGGTGGTTTGTAGGAGAATGGCCCCCATAGGCTCATGTTTGGTCCTGACCTGAACCCACAGGAGTAAGGGTCCTGAAGGGCAAGGGGTCGAGGTGGCGGAAGGGATGAGAAGATAAGATAGAGTTCCAGGACAGCCAAGGCTACTCCAACAGGGACCAGGAGGCCTGTATGAGCTGGTGATTCATGACAGCAAGCTTTTTAAGAATTACCACATCTCATATACTATTTGCAGGGGAGAAGTGGGTAAGTCGGCAGAAGCTATCACACCATAGGACAAAGGGGGCAGGAGGCCACTCAAGGAACGCTGCACAAAAAGAACGCAGGGTATCTCAAGTGTCACAGACTGGGCACACAGCAGCCTGGGACTGATGCCATAGCCCTTTAAAAAAGAGTGAAGAGCTGGGTTCCCAGAATCTGAAGCCACAGCTCCCCCAAGGCTCTGGCTTCAGACTATTTCCTTCCTTCCTTCCTTCCTTCCTTCCTTCCTTCCTTCCTTCCTTCCTTCCTTCCTTCCTTCCTTCCTTCCTTCTTCCTGTTTTTTTTCCAGACAGGGTTTCTCTGTGTAGTTTTGGTGCTTGTTCTGGAACTCGCTCTGTAGCCCAGGCTGGCCTTGAACTCACAGAGATCCACCTGGCTCTGCCTCCCCAGTGCTGGGATTAAGGGCATGGGGCACCAACCGCCCGGGAGGCTTCAGACTATAACTGGCCTTGTTAAGCATATTCTTGCTTTTAGACAAGGAACTATATTCCTTTTCCATACACCAGAGCCTCAGGAAAAGCCTGGGATTAGCCTGGCTTCCAACATGGTCCCCAGTTGGTGAAACTGTTTTGGAAAGGATTAGGAGGTGCGTGTGGCCTTGTTGGAAGGGTGTGTCACTGGAAATGGGCTTTGAGTTTTCAAAAGCCCAAGCCAGGCCAGCCAGTCTGTCTGTCTGTCTCTTTCTCTCTGCCTGCTGCTTGTGGATAAGATGTACGCTCTTAACTACTGCTCCAGCGCCATGCCTGCCTACCTGCTCATGATCCCCATCACGATGGTCATGCACGCACCCTCTGAAACTGTAAGCGAGCCCCCAATTAATTGAGTGCTCTCTTTTATGAGTTGGTCATGGTGTCTCTTCACAGCAAGAGAACAGTAACTATGACACCACAGAAATGCTACGGCCTAAAATTAAATATATTTCCAGGGCTGGAGAGGTGGCTCAGAGGACCTGAGTTTGGTTCTAAGCACCCATACTAGGCAGCTCATGACTGCCTGTGAATCCAACTCCAGAGGGCTCCAACACCTCTGGCCTCCCCTACAAGGATACCTGCAGTCATGTATGTGTGCACACACATGTGTGCCATGTCCACAGAGGCCAGTTGTTGATGGATATGCAGTTGTAGAGAGTATCCCTATGGGTGCCCAGCTCGTCATTTAATGAAGGTCTCCAAGGTGATGCAGATGGAAATCCCTTCATTTTTGCATCCCCAAAGCACAGTGTTATTTATTACTCTGCTCAGTATGGTCTATGCTGAAAGGGTAACACAGACCATACTCTTGTTTACCAGGCTGAATCTCTAGAAAAATTCTACTGAAATTAAGTAATATCCTAAGGAATAAAGTACTCTGTAATGCTTTGTTTAAATTAATAGATAAAATAATAAATTAAAAAAAAAACCCATATGTAAGCTGGGTGGTGGTGGCGGCGCACGCCTTTAATCCCAGCACTCGGGAGGCAGAGGCAGGCGGATCTCTGTGAGTTCGAGGCCAGCCTGGGCTACTAAGTGAGTTCCAGGAAAAAGGTGCAAAGCTACACAGAGAAACTCTGTCTCAGAAAAAAAAAAACAAAAAACCAAAAAACCGGTATGCTTAAAAATTGATTTTTTGCTATTTCTTGAAAAAAATCTGAAAAATAAGAATGTACAAAAAAGGTACATGAGGGAGCTGGAACACTGGCTTCCTGTCCAGAGGATCGGGGTTCAATTCCCAGCATCCATATCAATTCCCAGCTCACAACTGTCTGTAACTCTGAACCCTTGGGACCGATACTTTCCTGGTCACCAGGCGAGTCCACAGTACACAGACATACACGAAGGCAAAACAGCCATACAGATTAAAGAGAGAGGAAGGAAGGAATTGGCACATGGGACCAGAGTAGAGGAAGGATGCGTTTGCAAAGCTAACCAGGGGCCGGCTGAGGTGTATGCACCTCGGTGGTGGAGCCCTTCCCCACACAGGATGATGCCCTGGAAGTGTGACTGAGCAGCCCTGGCCGGGTACCTGTGAGAACTTGAGCACCTCCACGCCAGCATTCTCCAGCTCCTGGGTGCAGTTGGAACTGATGAGGGAATCAAAGTTTCTAAGAACCTGCACTTCGACATGGCGGCGGAGAGACGGATGTTGGGGAGGAAATGAAACTTGATTAAAGTCATTGGGAGAGCAGTTCCGGTCCTCTGTTACCCCTCCTCTTCCCGCCTCCCTCCCTGGAGCTCACACTGGGGCGGGGTTTAGGAGAGCCTCTATGTGCCTACGTCACTACTGTATCCGATTTCGTCCACATCTATTTTAGAGTTCTGAAAAATGAACCGTCAAACTTCAGAACTCTATCTTCACGTCCCTCTCCTTTCTTTTTCTGTTTTGCAGAATCTAGGGAAATTCTCATGCAGTGGGGCTGGCTTTCCCTCTGGTCTGTGGGAAGGCTTTCTCAATTATCCTGTGGAAAACGGCAGCTAGATCCAGCATTTTAAACTAGTAGAAGTGAATGGGGGTGGGGTGGGTGTCACACAAAAACTGGGCAACAGTCAAAGTTTCTGAACACACAATGACAGAAACTTAATTCATAATCAAACGTATACTGCGTCTAAAGAGTTTCTGGCAGGGCCCACCATGCCGCACACTGCAACTTCACCGTGCCGCGGATCTGAACACGCCACGCATGCACGCCATACTACAACATGCCACTTAGCGCCAATGGCCGCCAACGGGCAGATTTCAGACTCCTTTATGGTCACAACCTGCTGTGATTTTACTGCACATACAAAGCTCATGGCTCTTACAGAAACATACGGACTCAATACATATCTGTACCATCACTCCTGAGCACAGAAGGGTCGCGTTAGTGTATCTTTGGATTGTCCTGTATTAGAAGGTTTGATTTTAAAGAAGGTTTGATGACAAGAGCTGGCCTTACTGCCTGGAGTGGTTTGAATGAGTGTGTCACATAGACTTGGGTATTTGAACACCAGTCTCCAACTGGTGGCGATGTCTGGGGGGACGTTTAGGAGGTGCAGCCTTGCTGGAGGACCAGCTTTGACGATCTAAAGCCTCGTGACACCTGCAGTTCACTCTCTCGGCTTTGTGTGTGGCTGGACTCTCTGCTTCCTGCTTTGGCCGCCATGACGGCCATTTGCTGTCACAGGCCGCATGGCATACGCCCATCCACACTCACCCACATGTATCATATATACATAATAAGAAGTTAAAATTTAAAAATTAGGTGATACCTGGTTTTTAAAAGGTAAGAAAACTTCTCTAATTGGACAAAAAAAGGAAAGGAAGGGGAGGAGAGGAGACGCAACTTACCTTATCATGTCTTATCAGAAGAGACGTCCTGGAGCCCAGGGCGGAGAGGATGCCAGCGATCTCCACGGCGATGTAACCCGCGCCCACAATGACACTGCGGCTGAGATGAAAGCACAGGGTGACCACTTCATCGACTTGACTTTGGGGCGGCTTCAGATGCACACACTCGCGGGTTTCCCTCGGGCTCTTTGCCCAGTTTTCCCAACAGTTAATATTTTATGAGTAACACGGTGACCTGCACCTGCACACCCAAGCGTTTGGAGGCGGAGGCAGCCTGTTGTGAGTTCCAGGCCATCCAGAGCTACACAGCGAGGCGTTATTCTCAAACAGAACAAAACAAAATTTTCCCCCAGAAAAGAAAGCTATCTTGCTGGGGGCGGCGGCGGCACATGCCTTTAATCCCAGCACTCGGGAGGCAGAGACAGGCAGATCTCTGTGAGTTCAAGGCCAGCCTGGTCTACAGAGTGAGTTCCGGGACAGTCAGGACTACACAGAGAAACCCTATCTCAACCCTCCTCAGAAAGAAAAGAAAGAAAGAAAGAAAGAAAGAGAGAGAGAGAGAGAGAGAGAGAGAGAGAGAGAGAAAGAAAGAAAGAGAAATTTTTATTTGACATGTAAGTTCCCTATGTCCTATTTTTATCTATCTATCTACCTACCTATCTACATACCTACCTACTTATCATGTATGTATGTATCTATCTATCATCTATCTATCTATCTATCTATCTATCTATCTATCTATCTATCTATCTATCTATGACAGCCTCTGTATCTCAGCTGGCCAACAAGTCGTGGCTGAGACTGGTCCTGAACCCCCGCCAATGTTCCATACAGACATCTAACAGCACTATCATTTTCTGGGCGGGTATTTCTCCTCCTTCATTATCCAGTTCTATTAATCCTTGTAGCTTGACCTAAGGCCAATTTAAGAAAGCCATTTTAAGTCAGGCATGGTGGCTCATGCCGGCAATCCCAGCATTTGGGTGGCCCAGGAGGCCGCTGAACTCAACTTCCCGAATGCATTTCGGTTTAACAAAGGAGCTTAAGCCCCAGTTGAATGCTTGAATGACTGTCTGGATCAATGATGGAGAAACCCTGTTGCTTCAGGCTTACTTCCAGGCTGAGGCACGGAGAGTCACAGTCCCAGTCAGAGATTGCTACTACAGGTTTCCCAAGGCTCCAGCACGCCTCGCCCACTGTGCAAAGAACAAAGGAACTGACTTCCAGGACTTTCCACAGACCTGCCAGCCTACAGAAGCCTCCTGGCCTGGCTGGAGGATAAAGACCTCAAATGGCTGCAAATGACCAGTGAGGACCCTCTTAACCTAAAATCTTGAGCATGACTAGAAGCTTCCAGACTCTTCAAAACCTGCGACACAGCTCCTCTGGCATCTCGGGCCCTGTCACTCCTGTGTTGACCCCTTCCTTTCCGTAAGCCCCCCCGCCCCCCACACACACACGCGCACACACACTTGCTTTTCTCGGTTCCTCTCTCCACCTTCCTGCTTTTCTGGACACTGAAGCCCTACATCGTCCTAGGCACTACGCTAGATGGGATAGGTAACGGTTTCTGCCTTCAAAGTGTTTTCTGGCTTTTTCCGATACTGACACGGTGTGAACCCAGGGCCCTTTCTTTCCATACTAGACACGCCTCTCCACTGAGCTGTATCTCCAGCCTTAATTAAAAAAATAAATAAATAAATAAAGTTTAAAGACCAGCCTGGCCAAGTAGCCAAGGCTGGAAATAAATCTGTTCAATAGCCCAAGGGGCCTTGAATTTACAATTCTCCATCTTCGACGTCCAGAGCACCTGGGATTATAAATCTAAACTGTGGGCTGGAGAGATGGCTCAGAGGTTAAGAGCACTGGCTGCTCTTCCGGAGGTCCTGAGTTCAATTCCCAGCAACCACACGGCGGCTCCCAACCATCTGTAATGAGACCTGGCGCCCTCTTCTGGCCTGCAGGCAGACATGTGGACAGAACACTGAATACATAATAAATAAATAAATCATAAAATAATAAAAAAAATAAATAATTTCTAAAGAAACACACCCTGAAGCTGGTCAAAGAGGACCGAGTACTTGAAGGGTAGAGACCTTAGAGACAGCTGTGGATTCCTGAGAGGTGCGTATCTTTTGTGGGGAGGGGGCATTCGAGTGAAAAGGACAGGTCGCCATCACATGCTTTTTCTGAGAGCTACAAGGAGCTCACTGCTCCCCTTGGCTCCCACTGGCCCTTCATCCCACCCCGTCACTACAGTACACATTGAAAACCACTTGACACACTTCCGCGTCCCCAGAGCAACGCCCTTTTACCTCCTGACGCCTTGAGAGCTATCACCACCGCCTTCCAGAGGCTTCAAGCCGCCCACCCCATCCAGCCATAAGCCCTCTGAGGGCAAAAACAGAACCACGAGGTGCACTGGTACCTCACCTACAGGATTTATTCAAGACTATAATTTATGATTTAAAAAAAAAAACTTATAAGAGAAAAAGGAATGAAAAAAGAAATCACCTACGAAATAGCTTTGGAGGGAGGGAAGCTCTATGTAGCTCAGGTTGGCCTTGAACTCACTATCCAGCAAAGCTATCCTGCCTCAGCCTTCCAAGTGCCCCACAAGTACAGTGCCACATTTGGTTGTTTTTTTGTTTTTGTTTTTTTGGTTTTTCGAGACAGGGTTTCTCTGTGTAGCTTTGGAGCCTTTCCTGGAACTCACTCTGTAGACCAGGCTGACCTCGAACTGACAAGAGATTCGCCCGCCTCTGCCTCTGCCACCACCACCCGGCTGGTTGTTCTTTTTTGAGACACGGGTTGCTCCAGGTTACCTAGTCTGGCCTGGCGTGCCTAGCTTCCTGCCATTCTCTACTCCAGCCTCCAGCAACTGTGATGTGGGCAAAGCACCACACCTAGCTGAACTGCGAGTTCACTTCCTTTTGTTCCCAGAGCCCTTTTCTTTATAGCATGAATTAACTCATTCATTAAGCTTGTATTCACATCAATAAAAGTTCATTAAGTAGTTCTATAATATGTAATGGACAATATGTAATAAAGCTTGCTCAGGGGTGGGTCTGAACTGACTTACATCATCACCCAAACACAACTGAGTCATGGTTGGCTATTTCGGGATGCACGCTCACTCACATCGTATCTGTGGAGCCTAAAAACACTTCAGGGTGGCTCATGCTGAGGCAGGTAAGTCAACTGAGACTTCAGAAAAGGAAGAGCACTGGTTCCCAGGAGAGGGAGAGATGAATACGCGTCATGTCTGCTTACCTGGGCAGGTCTTCCAGCTGAAAAAACCCGTCACTGGTTATTCCCAAGCCGGCACCTACGGAGAAAAACACCACACTGTGGTAAAATGAACACACTATTGAACCTTGTTTTCAGCACGGGCTGAGGAAGGGTTATACACTGTAATCTGGGCTGACCTGGGACTTAACTACGTACGTAGCCCAGGCTGGCCTCAAACTCATGGCAATCCTCCTGCCTCAGCCTCTTGGAACAGTGGGAATCTGGAGTATAAGCTGCCATGCCTGGCCCAAACACAAGCTATTCAAGAACCAAATACTCTTCTCAGCCAATGCACTGTCTCCGCAGCTTTCTTAGACCTCCACTGAGAACACGGCTTCCTGGAGTCTACATTTTACGTTTATCTCAAGAAATAGGAACGGTGAAGGGTAAGTCAGTTTAGCTTTCCCCTGAAGGACCAAGATCCTGTCAGCTGTCATGAGCACTCTGCTAACGCTGCTTTGTGTCTAACTGCAAGTCAAGTCAGGAAGCCAGGAGTGGGGTCTCGGCACCCTTCACTTCCTGCACTTTTTTTTTTGTTGTTGTTGAGACAGGGCCTCTCTACATAGCCCTAGCTATCCTGAAACTCAAACTATGTAGACCAAACTGACCTCGACCTCACAAGAGCTCTGCCTGCCCTGCCTCTGCCTCCCAAGTGCTGGGATTAAGGCATGCACTACCACACCTGGCTTCCACCAGTTCTTCTTCAAGACTACACAGACCGTAGAAGTGTTGATTTCCTCCTCAAACATCCCAGGTCCATATTTACATCTGTCCTGCTTCTCAATTCTCTTTCAAGTTCCCTTTATCTGAAACCCGTGAGGCCAGAATTTCAAATTTCAGAAATTTTTCCGAATTGGGAATATGTCTATAGGGCATTTCTTGATGAATGTGGACAGGTGGTCCTGGGTTGTATTAAAAAGGTAGGCTGAGGCTGGGCGGTGGTGGCGCACGCCTTTGATCCCAGCACTCAGGAGGCAGAGCCAGGAGGATCTCTGTGAGTTCGAGTCCAGCCTGGTCTACAGAGTGAGATCTAGGACAGGCACCAAAACTACAGAGAAACCCTGTCTCGAAAAAAAACAAAAACAAACCAAAAAAGAAGGTAGGCTGAACAAGGCATGGGAAGCAAGCCAGTTAGCAGCGCTCCTCCATGGCCTTCAGTTCCTGCCTCCAGGTTCCCGCCTTGAGTTCCTGCCCTGACTTCCCTTCACAATGGACTGTAATCTGCGAGGCAGAATAAACCTTTATTTTCCTCTCCAAGTTGCCATGGTGTTTTATCACAGCAATAGAAATGCTAACTGAGACAGATGTCTGAGGAATACAGCTGAAGATTAAACTGTACATAATAACCTGGGCATGAGGTCATAATCTTGTAATCCCAGCACAGGGGAGACAGAGGCAGGAGGACCAGGAATTCAAAGTAGAGAGTGGACTAGAGGTCAGTCTGGGCTTCAAGACCTATCTTGTTAAAGATTTATTTATTTATTATACATACAGTGCTCTGGCGGCATGTGTCCCTGCAGGCCAGAAGAGGGCACCAGATCTCATTACAGGCGGTTGTGAGCCACCATGTGGTTGCTGGGAATTGAACTCAGGACCTCTGGAAGAGCAGTCAGTGCTCTTAACCACTGAGCCATCTCTCCAGCCCCTAAGGCCTATCTTATAAGTACCGTGTGCTAACCACAGTGCCACTGGAGCTCTTCAAGACCTATCTGTAAGGGGGGGGTGTGGGGGGGGGAGGTGAGGGACCGCGCGTGCGCGAGAGCAACACAAAATATTTTAACAACATTAAAAAAAATTTATACATGAAATAAAGTGTCCTTGGGCAGAACTTTCTGCTTGTGGTATGTCAAAAAACTGGCTCTTGGAGCATTTCACATTTTCAATTTCCAGAATATGGATGTTCAACCTGTCCATTCAGTTTTAAATCTTAATTTTCCAAACTATATGCCCCTTACCATTTTAGTGAGAGGAAGTAAAGTACCCTGTCCCGATAACCCAGACAGGGCCTCTTTCTCTAACACTCGCTTCCTAATCTGGATCTGCTCAGTGAACAGATACACCCATCTTTCCAAATTTAAGAGCCATGAGCACACGGCACACCCTGGCAGGTCTCTGTGGTGAAGAGTTATGTTCTGAAACCTTTCGTTTTTGTTATTTTGTCTTTTTTTTTTTTTTTCCCAGAGCTGAGGACTGAACGGAGGGCCTCTACCACTGAGCTAAATCCCCAACCCCCTGAAACCTTTCTTTAAATCAGAGACGTACAGCATCCGACCTTTCGTGGGCTATCTTCAGCCTGTCCCCCCTAGTCCAAGTAGGGGGCTCAGCAAGTCCCTACAGAACGTGGCTGAGAGCCTCCCATCTCATTTCCGGTGAGAGCACCCATATAGAACTATCTTCCACCTCCTGCAGACTATGGAAAGTCTCTCCTCATCCAGTCCCTGTCAGCATTCTTTCTGAACATCACACAGATCTTGTCACTGTTTATAAGCCAACGATGATTTGCTGCAGTTACCAAAGTGACTTTGGCTTGAGGAGGCTCCCATAATTCCATCATAACCTAATTCTAGTCTCGACTCAAAGCTCTTGCTTCCAGAAGTTCAGTGCCGTCCAACTGACTTAGCTGAAAAGCCTTCAGAGATGTCTTCATTACTCATTGGTTCTTCCTGCTCTGCTCTCTCTCAGCACATAGTTCTGACTGAGAGCCTCTTTCTTAGAAGTCGTCCTGGGTCATGCCTGTCCATGTGGATCCTCCCTTCTGTCTGAACGTAGTCCAAGAATGGCATCATGTAAGAATTCTGGGTGCTTGTGAGAAAACTCCAAGCCAAGAGTCCTGTGACCTCAGTTTCTTGGAAACATAGAATTGTTCTTGGAACAATGTGTTTAGTAGATAGGAGTGAGTTTACTTCAGCTGTTGTTAGTCATAGGACTTTATGGAAAAACATGTTTTGCCACATGTGGCTTGTCCTTGTGATTGGATACTTTACTCAGGTGACTCTTCTTAACCCTCAGAGTACAAACGGTCTGATGCTCTGAATAGAGTTGGCTACTGCATGAGACTTTGGTCCCCTCATTTTCAGGCCCCACTCTTCTAGGCTCAAGCTGCCAATTAAAGCTCTCTACACCCACCTCAAGACCATCTCTGCCTTCACCATCTGGCGCCTTAGAGAGCTTAGACGATGCATTTCTTGTTATTACCTTAATCAATGAAGCAACATTTGGAGTCATTTAAAAGGTGAGGCTGGGGGCTGAAGAGATGGCTCAGAGGTTAAGAGCACAGGCTGCCCTTCTGGAGGTCCTGAATTCAATTCCCAGCAACCACATGGTGGCTCACAACCATCTAGAATGAGATCTGGTGCCCTCTTCTGGCATGCAGGCATATATGCAGACAGACCACTGTGTACATAATAAATAAATAAAATCTTTAAAATAATGCTAAAAAAATAAAAGACAAGCCCGAGCCAGGCGGTGGTGGCACATGCCTTGAATTCCAGTGCTTGGGAGGCAGAGGCAGGTGGATTGCAGTGAGTTCGAGGCCAGCCTGGTCTACAGAGCAAGTTCTAGGATTGCCAGGGCTACACAGAGAAACCCTGTCTGGAAAAAAGAAAACAAATAAGTAAAAACATCAGAGGGAGAGTGAGATCAGGGCTCTTCCCCATTCTGTGTCTCGACTCCTCTCTAGACAGAATAGATATTAGATTCTGTTGTTTTGCTTTTTAAATTATCATTTTATTCTATGGGTATGGGTGTTTTACCTGCATGTATGTCTGTGTATCACAGGTATATAGTGCCTGGAGAGGCTAGAAGAGGGTGCTGGATTCCCTGGCACTGGAGTTGGTTGTTAAGCTCCATGTGGGTGCTAGAAATTGAACCCAGGTCCTCTGGAGGATTAATCAGTGCTCTTAAAATGGAGCCATCTCTATAGCCTCACGATTATTTGTGTGTGTGTGTGTGTGTGTGTGTGTGTGTGTGTGTGTGTGTGTGTTTTGCCTGCATGTATGTATGTGCGCCACGTTGGTGCAGTGCCTGTGGAGGTCAGAAGAGGACACTGGATCCCCTGAACTGGAGTTATAGACGGTGTGATCTACCATGTGGGTGCTGGGAACCGAACTCAGGTACACTGTAAGAGCACCACGTGCTCTAAATGGCTGAGCCTTCTCTCCAGGTCATGTTTTGTTTTTATGCACTGCTCCAAACAGAACCAAGGTCTCACACTTGATATTATGTGGGAGAAAGAATGAGTAATCTGTCTTTGGAGTGAACATGGTCATCTCTTCATGATTCATCCCTAGCTCTTAGCCCAACACACAGATACACAGGCAGATAGGACCACCTCTGAGATTCATGGCTAGTTCAATCTTTCACACCTTACTGTATAAGAAACAAAAACTTGGAATGGGGAGAACTATCTTTTTTACAGGATTTCTCTCTTGAACAACTGTATATTGAGTCTCAGAAATAATAATTTGTCTGACAACCCCAGGTGGGCAGCACTCTGGGCCACGCCAGGAGCGAAAAGCTGAAGCTCTCTATGATTTCTCTTCCTGAGTCCCCCCGAGCTGGATGAAATAGCTTTCGTTGGCTCATCGTCAATTACCACGGAGATTCAGGACCTTCTTTTCTGACCTTTCTCAGGACAGAACCAGTGTAGGCAGATCCCAAGACGTGGCTTGTAAACTCTCTGACCGTACTGGCCTCTGGAAGACTCACCTGGGATCTGGCTCTCATGAGGAACGGTGGGCACGCCACCTGTGGCAATCAGGATGTGAGGTGCAGTATACTTTTGTCCATTGACTTCGACCGTGGGCTGAGGACCATCTGTAAACGTTGCATAGCCGTGGATGATTTCTATGTGGGACTGGAGAAGGAACATTGACATTAGCATATTCTTAAGACTTAAAAAGCAACCACACAAAAAAACACACCTGGTTGGGAGTGGTAGTTAACTCCTATAATCCTGTGCTTGGGAGGAGGCTGAAGGATCAGGTACTCAAGGTCATCCTTGGCTATATAGCAAGTTCACAGGCAGTTTGAGCTATAGGAAACCTCTGTCTCACCAAGTATCTATCTGGCCGGGTAGGGGTGGCATACATCTTTAATCCCAGCACTCGGGAGGCAGAGGCAGGCAGATCTTTGTGAGTTCGAGGCCAGCCTGGTCTACAGAGCGAGTTCCAGGAAAGGCGCAAAGCTACACAGAGAAACCCTGTCTCAAAAAACAAAACAAAACAAAAAAAATCTTCTGCCTCTACTTTCCAAGTGTTGGGATTACAAAGCTCAGTCCGACACCTGGCTCTTGTAGCTCAAGTTTTCCTTTTTCTTTAAATAATTGATTTATTTTTATTTTATGTGCATTGGTGTTCTGGCTGGTGTATGTCTGTGTGAGGGTCCCCTGGAACTGGAGTCAGACAGTTGTGAGCTGCTCTGTGGGTGCTGGGAATTGAACCCAAGTCCTCTGGAAGAATGGCCAGTGCTCTTAACTGCTAAGCCATCTCTCCAGCCCCATCCACACTGTACTTGAAATAGCAATCCTCCTGCCTCAGCCTTTCACAGCTGAGATTATAGGTGATTATAAAATGCCACCGCACATTGCTCCACTTAAGATTTTAACTTTGGATTTGTCAGTAACAAGAGGGATTCTGTGGTTCACATTCTTAGACCTCCTGACTGGTAACGGATACTCGGGAGAGCTCATTGCCCGTTAGGTGCTGGATGTAAGTAACAAGGAGAAAGGACGGTGCTACCTTGAGCCGAAACCAAGAGAACAAAAGCCATGCCAGTCACTCCAAGGAAAAAGACAGTATCTTTGGTTCCAAGGGTTGAAGGTGAAAGTCTTTTCATTTCCCGACAATGAAAAGACACTAGAAAATGACATGCCAGACAGACCATAAAGGTGAAAGGAACAGACACCAGAGAAATATTGCAGCCAAGACAGAAGATGCGACCTTTTGCTGTCTTTGGTGGGAAGAGAGTTCAAAACAATAAACTACACAGAGACGCTCTACCGTGGAAATTCTGGGAACACTAATGCCTGACCTGCTGAGTGGATCCCTGTACAAGGGGTCAATCTGAGGCCTGCCAGCAAACTCCAGCCAGCTGTGACCTATGTCCTGGCACACAAAGGTGGACTATTAAAAGCTAGTGGAGCCACGTAAGTATGTTCACACAAAGGAATGAGTCAACGTTTTGTAGCATGTCTGGTTCTGAACTCTTTCCTCCCTCCCAACCTCCCCTCCAGGCCTGTTCTTGCAGGTGCCTGGCTTAATGAACTGAATTTCAGTTAATGCCAAACCCACATGCATTCCTAACAGCCTTTCTTTGGGGGGCAGTGAGTTCTCCCCGGGAGAAAAAGGGCTGGGTAGCGACGGCACACGTAATGGTCAGGAGAAATATTGGCACTGTCTGGGACATGGCATCAAAGTCTCTTTCGCTGTGGAATTCCTACCAGCCCAACCCTATCGCAAGGTCAGAGTGAGCTCCACCACACACCAAGCCTGAGCTTTGCACACATGCTGATTTCTCAATAACTTTCCTATCTTGTTTTTTTTTTATGATTTATTTTATTTTATGTGTACGGTTTTGCTGTATGTATGCATGGGCACCATACATGCTAAGTGCCTGCAGAGGCCGGAAGACAGCATCGGATCCCAGGAACTGGAATTACAGTTGTTAGTCACCATGTGGGTGACTGGGAATTGAACTTGGATCCTCTGGAAAAGCAGCCGGTGTCCTTAGCTGTAAGCCATCTCATATGCCCATCTCTTTCTTAAAATTTAGTTAGCCAAAAAAAAGAAAAGAAAAGAAAAGAAAAGAAAATTAGTTAGCTCCATTAAAGAAATTCCAGTAGGAGCTGGACACGGTGGCACACTCCTTCAATCCCAGCACTCAAGAGGCAGAGAGGTAGGCAGACTTTTGTGAGTTCTAAGGCCAGCCTGGTCTCTATAGTGAGTGCCAGGCCAGCCAAGGCTACATTCTAAGACCCGACACAGGGGGAGGGGTGCTGGACAGATGGCTTAGTGGTTAAGGGGGCTTGCTGCTCTTCAAGAGGACCCAGATTTGGATCTTAGCACCCATGTCAGGTGATTCAACTGCCTGTAACTGCAGCTCAGGGGATCTGACACCTTCTTTGCCTCTATGGGCATCTGTGCGCACGCATTGCATGCGCACACGCACGTGCACAGGTAAGTAAAAATAAATCTTTAATTTAAAAAGGGCATCGGGAGAGAGGGACAGAAGGCAAATATTTCTTGTAGGCAAATACACCTTTGTAGAATTTTCTTGGTAAGAATTTACTTACAAAATTACAAAATTCTGAATCCGGTCTGTAAGAAGCTGTTCTAAGCAAATGTTCGACACTGGGTTTTCAGCTTGTGTTCCTGGCTTGGACCAGCACACTGTTCTGTAAATCCCTCTCTCCTGATTTAACTGGAGGGACAGACCTACTCAGCATGCATACATGAGGTGAGATCTGGTCTACGGACCGACATACACTGTCTACTCTTGGCAGAAAAGAGACTGGACTACTAGATCAAAGGCTCCTGGTCAGTAAAGTCAGCTTTGAAATTATTAATAGGAAAAATATAGAATAAGACATAGCCGGGTAGGAATGGAGCATGCCTATAATCCCAGCGCTTAGAAGGCAAAGGCAGGTGGATCTCTGTGAGTTCTAGGCCAGCCTGGGCTACAGAGTGAGTTCCAGGACAGCCATGGCTACACAGAGAAACCTTGTCTCAAAAAACCAAAAAAATCTGTCTGGTCAGATCCGGTGCCTGCTCTACGACCCCTTCACCAAGTTCAAAGGCCAGCATACACACCTTGGTTAAGTTGTTTTGGTAGATGGTGTTCAGGCGGCTCACGTAGGCATCACGCTTCTCCTTGATGACACTGGAAAGAGAACCAAGTCAATACTCAGACGGTATTTCCTTTCTTCACCTAGCAGCCAGGGCCCCAGCCTCCGAGACCACTGACTGTCCCTTCGAACACAGGAAGCAAGTATCTGAAGACAGGTGTCCCCCCTGCATCTGAGGCTTCTCAGGTGCTGAGGGCCTGTTCCGTCCTGGAGCACGCTCAGGTGGCATCTATGGTACACACACGCCTCTTTTTGCATAGAAAATCCGGAGACGGGCCAGCCAGATGGCTTAGTACGGAAAGGCACATGCTGCCAAGCTGGACTGCCTGAGCTCAATCCCATGACCCACATGGTGGAAGGACCAATCCCACAAACTGTTTTCTGATGTTCACATGTGCTGCAGCATGCATACATGACACACACACACACACACACACACACACACACACACACACACAGTAATAAAATATTAGAAACAAACAAAGCAGGAGAGCTGTTCCAGCACGGTCCCCAATGGACTTTACATGAACAGATTTATTTAAATTCCTTGAGAAATTGATGGCTCCAAAAGTTGGTGCCAATACCTTAGAGAGCTACACACAGGACTGTTCTATTACTCAGCACATGATTCTGTACCTTCTAGGTACAGACCCAGAAGGACTGGAAACAGATGACTGTCCGTCAGTCTTCATGGAGGCATCACACATGACAGTCACAACATAGAAGCAACCCAAGGTGACGGCAAGATGCCTGGATAAGCACACTGGCACACTGCACAGAGGAAGCAGGGCAGAGGTGGCAGGCGGTAGTGAGGAGGATGGAAGCCCACTCCAGCCAGTCAATCTTTAACTGTGACCCTGAACAATAGATTTCAGGAGGCAGAGCCGGGCGCAGCTCTGTGAGTTCGAGGCCAGCCTGGTCTACAGAGTGAGATCCAGGACAGGCTCCAAAGCTACACACAGAAACTCTGTCTCAAAAAAAAAAAAAAAAGAAAAGAAAAGAAAAGAAAAGAAATCAGGCCTAAAAGGAGATCGTATGATCCTACAGGCTGATAGCAAAGTAGGGAATCAGGAGTTATTATTTAATGGCAATGATTGTTCAGAATGATGGAAAGTTCTGGAAATTCATAAAGGGTGCTGTCTGTGAAACAGTGTGTATGTGCTTGAAGCCAAACTGTGTATTTACAATGGTGAGAATGGCCAATTTTACGTTGTGCATAAATACAGACACACACACACACACACACACACACACACACACACACACACACACACACACGGCAGTAGGGTTGATGGAACCCAGGCCCTTACACAACCCAGGCAAGGACTAATGCAAGCCCAAGCTACATGCCCAGCCCTGTACATACTCAGACCCAGTAAACCCCCGGCCCTCACAGCTTCAAAACCACCCATACTTGTATGTGAAGGGAAGCCCCTGAGCACTTACCGCCAACTGAATTTGCTCTCACAGCTCTGAAAGCCATAATCCGTGTGATCGTGCATGAATTCTGAGTGGACAGCTGTGTTCCACATCACCTAGGAAAGAAGTGTCAAAACTAGTCAGGCGTGAGTGCCGAAGACAGACAAAAGCCACGAGGGAAACATAACTGATAAAAGTAGTGACCCTGGGGTTAAATAACAACGAAATACATTAAGAGAGAGGATTCAGGATCTGGCTAGATAAATTTTATAGTAAGGGCTATGAAATATCGGGGAAAGTAACACCTACCGTTAAATTACCTAGCCTATAAACGTGATAAAAAGTAGACTATTACTAGCCTCATAACTGTTCCTCTAAAGGTTTTTCAGTATTGCTTATGCTTTTTGTTTACTATTGCTCTTACTCCTGTTTTAAATTCTCTATTTTTGTAAGCTTTGTCCTTTTTCATTCAGCTTCAGGAAATAGAATACAGCTTCACTTTACAAGTCTACCATTTAGAAAGAAAAGGCACAAGGTAAGTGAAGAGTTTAAAAGTTAAAGGTAATAAATCCTATTATGCAGCCAGGAACTGTCAGCCTACCCTTTTAAGGACGTATGTGACCACAGAGGCTGCGTTCTCCTCTGTGGAATTCAGCTCATTCTCTGGAGGCTGCTTGGGCCAATTGACCATCAGAAGAAGGCTCAAACTGGCTAGTTAGTATCCATGCAACAGACTACCACTACTAACCACTTTAACTGTTCCATTATCTTAATGCATATGGAGGATTTACCAATGCCACAAATAAATTACGTTAGCAAACGTCACTTTACCTTTGGTCATCCTGCAGCATTACACTTATTTACTCCCAGGTCATGTCATGGACCACACAGTAGCACCAAACACCCTCCAGAGAGAGGGCCTCTCTATCAACTGCTCTAGGCTTTTGGCTCAGACCTCTTCAGCATGGCGGCGGCAACTTAGGCCTATTCTCTAGTAACTGGCGATTGCTCTTTCACTCTATCCTTCTGACAAGAGTGATTTCAGGCTGTTCTGCTAACTAAGAGGCAATTACCCAGGGTGCAGTGGAGCATGCCTTTAAGGCCAGCACTCAGGAGGCAGAGGCAGGTGGATCTCTGTAGGTTTGTGGCCTCCATTAGATTGACCTGTAGGTAAATTTGTGGGGCATTTTCTTGATTAATGATTGTGGTGGTTTGAAAGAAAATGGCCCCCAAAGGGAGTGGCACTATTAGGAGGTGTGGCCTTGCTGGAGTAGGTGTGGACTTATTGGAGGAAGTGTGTCACTGTGGAGGCTGGCTTTGAGGTCTCATCTATGCTCAAGGCATGCCCAGTGTCACAGTTCACTTCCTGTTGCCTTTGGATCAAGAGGCAGAATTGCCCAGTACCATGTCTGCCTGCCTCCACACCATGACGATAATGGACTGAACCTCTGAGCTGGAAGCCGCCACCTCCATTAGATGTCGTCCTTTGTGGGAGCTGCCGTGGTCAGTCATGGTGTCTCTCCACAGCAACAGAACCCCTCACTAAGACACTGACTGACGTCACAGGGCCCAGCACACTGTGGACTACAGAAGAAAGCAGGCTGAACAAGGCACGGGCAGTGAGCCAGCAAGCAGTGTTCCGCCATGGTCTCTGCGTCACCGCCTGGCCCGACCTCCCTTTGTGATGGACTGCGAGCTGTAACCCGAAATAAACCCTTTCCTCTCCTCGGTGCTTTTGGGCCCGGTGCTTGTCACAGCAGCAGAAGGCTACCTAGGACAATCTGTAACGGGTACGTTTGGGACACCCTTATTCCGACCATGAGTTACTAAACCTGAACGCGGAGTATTGAGAGAAGGAGAAATTCAAGATTTACCTTTTTGGGGACACATCCCACGTTCACCTAGGGGACAAAAATTAAAAAGACACAGGTTAGGAAAAGCCAATCCGAGTCATCCAAACACCCACAGGGATGAATGCCAACGATCACACAGTCACCCCAAAACCAGAGTGACAGCCACAACGGCCCGGATCCGACAGGCACTTCCTCCTCCTGCCACAGTGAGAAAACCATGCTTGTTCCTCCTCCAACAGAACATTTTCATCCATTTTCCTCGAGAAGGGGGAGGCGCAGTGAGAGGAGACCGGGGAATAGTCTCTCAAGTGAAGTTCCCACGGCCCTTGACAAACACCTAGTGGCCAACCTGTCTCATTCTCCCACGCCACAGCAGCGGGAACCACCCTGCTAGGAAGCCTCGGGATAAGATTTACAGACACAGAACACAACGTGGTCCCTTCCTGGCGCAAACGAGACAAGATTTCATTAAAAGAAAACAAAAAAAAAATAAATAAAAAAAAAAAAAAGAAAGCTTCACCGGACAGTAGAGAAAAAAACAAAAACCAAACTATCATACAGTAAGGCCAGACAAAAAACTCCTCCCAAGGTGCTCACAAAAGGAGACCATTCTTGCACATTCACACTTGCACGTCTGTTGATTTTGTGTGTGTATGTAGTGTATGCTCAAGTGTGTGGGTGAGTGCAGGTGTGCTTACCTGCATGTGTGTGTGTGTGTGTGTTTGTGTGTGTGTATGTAAGTGTGTGCAGGTGTGTTTACCTGCATGTGTGTGTATGTTAGTGTGTGCAGGTATGCTGTGGGATGGACTGTATGTCAAACTGCTCTGAATGGTCAATAAATAAAACACTGATTGGCCAGTGGCCAGGCAGGAAGTATAGGCGGGACTAACAGAGAGGAAAATGGAGAGAACAGGAAGGGGGAGGGAGACAGTGCCAGCACCTGCCATGACAAGCAGCATGTGAAGATGCCGGTAAGCCCCGAGCCACGTGACAAAGTATAGATTAATAAAAATGGGCTAAATATAAGAGTAAGAGCTAGACAATGATAGGCCTGAGCTAACGGCCAAGCAGTTTCAATAAAATAAGAGTCTGTGTGTTTATTTTATAAGTGGGCTCCGGGACTGGTGGGACTGGGCAGGAGCTGGAGAGAAATTCTCCAGCTACACAGGTGTACCTACCTGCATGTGTATGGAGGTCAGAGGTTGACTTCATGAATCTTCCTTGACAGCTCTCCACCTTCTATGGAAACAGGCCTTCCACTGACCCTGGAGCTCACTACTTTGGCTAGACGGATTGTTCAGAGAACCCCTAAGATCTGCCTGCCTCAGGACCTGGTGTAAGCTGCTACATCTGGCTTTTATGTGGGTTCTGGGGTCCAGACTCAAGTCATGCTTATATAGCAAGCACCTCACTTACTCAGCCATCTCCCGGGCCCCATAACTGCTTTTGATCATTTCCTTTTTATGAAAAGCTGGGGTGTGTAAGCATGTGCTTACAACGCTTTGTGAGTAGGGAATCTGAACCAGGCATGGTCGTACACACCTGGAATCCCAGCACCTGGGAGGCAGAAGCAAGAGAATCTGGAGTCCAGGATCCTTAAATAAGGAGAAGTTTTGAGTCCAGCCTGGGCTACATGAGCTTTGCCTCAAAAATAGATAGATAGATAGATAGATAGATAGATAGATAGATAGATAGATAGATAGATAGATAGATAGATAGATAGATAAGTAGGTAGGTAGGTAGGTAGGTAGGTAGGTAGGTAGGTAGGTAGGTAGGTAGACAGACAGATAGGAGCAAATCAAAGCCTGGGCCCCACCGACTGGGTAATGTTCTGTGTATACTAGCAGGAAAGCTGCTTGAGGAGGGGAAACCAGACTGATCTCAGCCTAAAGGGCAAGTTACAGGCCCCGTGGCTGTCTAGATTCGCCCTCCCACCCCCCAACACACACACACATTCCAGACACTCTTTAACTGGCTAACTACTGACTAGGAAGAAGTGATCATTTATCTTGGCTGATATAAGAAGTACTAAGACTTAAAAGACGGTATCGATGGTGCATCTTTAAAAATAACCAGTGTGGGGCCAGCAAGATGGCTGGGTGGGTAGAGATGCTTGCAGCCAAGGCTGACTGCCTGAGTTTGAGACTCTGGATGTACCGACAGGAGGAGAATTAACCAGCACGGGGTGTCCTCTCACCTCCACACACCTACCATGGCAGGTGCATCCATGCACACATGTACACAAATAAATCAATAAATGCAGTATTTTTTGAAATCGGTGTGTTCACAATACCAACTGGCACTGGTGGTGCCACATATCTACAAACTGGTGAGCGGTCACCAAAAGCACAAGATTGTAAGGCATATGGTATGGAACTTGGGACGCTGAGCAGCCACTGCTAATGAACCTAGAGAACCTGAGTACCTCTACATGGAGCTGGAGGGCTAGGTGTAGGGACAGAGGTTGTGATCTGGGAATTGGGAGGCGTCAAGGACAGCAGGGTTACATACAGGGTTAAAGCCAGACTGGGCAGTAGGTGAGATTCTGTCTCAAAAAACAACAAACAACGAACAAGACTTATGTGTGGGAGCCCACAAAGGTTTCCTAGTCAGATCTGATCTTGCTTTACCCAGCAGGGCTGCATTAGAGGATGGCTTGACCATGTGCATGGTTACCAGGTGACTGGAAGGGGCTGCACTTGGCTGTGCTGGGGGGAGGGCTTTTGCTCCAACCCTTGGCATTCCTTTAAAAAGCCCTTTAGAAGAGACAGAAGGGGCCGGTGGATAAGGATTCAGGCCCTCCTGAGGCTACCTGTGTTTCTATCTGTCTCTCTCCTCTCTATATTTCTATCTAAATCTCTTATCCCTCACTTCTCAAGAGTACCCCAGGGGGAAAAGGTGGGGGCAGGTCCCCCCCACACTTACGGTGACTTCTGCTGCTGTTGACACCAGTGTCACTATGTAGCTGTGGCTGGCCTGGGACTCCCCGTGTAGACCAGACTGGCCTCAAACTTATGTGTCAGCAAGATACACTCTTGTGCTGTGTTTTATTTTATTTTTTTTTTTTTTTTTTTTTTTTTAAGATTTATTTATCTATTATATTTACAGTGTTCTGTCTGCACACCAGAAGAGGGAACTGGATCTCATTGTAGATGGTTATGAGCCACCATGTGGTTGCTGGGAATTGAACTCAGGACCCCTGGAGAAGTAGCCAGAACTCGTAACCCCTAAGCCATCTCTCCAGCCCAAGGCTACTTTTTTAACATTTAGCCTAAAGACATAATTAAAGCCCAGCATGGAACCACACACCTGTAACGCCAGCTTTGGAAGGTGGAACCAGGATCACGCACGCATTCAAAGCCATCCTTGACTACACAAAATCTGAGGTTGGAACACATGTCTGTCTGCTTAGATCCCCCCACCTACCTGACCAAGCTGAGGCTCTGCTGCCCCTCAACGCAGGTGACAGTCACAGGGACAGAAGAACGGGCCACTCCTAAGGCAGGAGGGCAACAGGGGTTTTGCAGATGCCAAGAGCAGGGGAAACAGCTAAAATCCCCAGGGAAGATCAACCCCAGCTCCTTGGTGGGGTGCTTTCACGGGTCCACTGAGTGGGCAAAGTGGGCCTCGGCGCCCTTAACTCACAACCCCAGCCTCTGAAGTTTCGCAGTAAGAGTCCAGTAACAGTTCCATCTAGAACACACTCCTAACAGAGTTCCTGAAGAGTGAACATACTCTAGGCCGGGCCATAGTGGCGCACGCCTTTGATCCCAGCACTTGGGAGGCAGGCGGATCTCTGAGAGTTCAAGTCCAGCCTGGTCTACAGAGCGAGCTCCAGGACAGCCAGGGCTACATAGAAAAATAAACAAAACAAAACAAAGAATAAAAAAGGAAAAAAGAAAGGAAGGAAGGAAGGAAGGAAGGAAGGAAGGAAGGAAGGAAGGAAGGAAGGAGAAAGAAAGAAAGAAAGAAAGAAAGAAAGAAAGAAAGAAAGAAAGAAAGAAAGAAAGAAAGAAAGAAAGACACTCTAC